AATTCTGGAAATGGAAAAGTTGGGTAAATGAACCGGAACTACAGATGCAAGCATGACCATCAGAATACAAGAGATGGAAGAGAGAAACTCATGAGTTGAAGATACAATAGAGAAAATAGACTCGATGGTCGAAAAAATACATTAAATCCAACAAATTCTTAACAGAAAACATCCAGGAAACCTGGGGTGCCATGAAAAGACCAAACCTAAGCATAATAGTGGTAGAAGAAGGAGAAAAATTCCAGCTCAAAGGCACAGAAAATATATTCAACAAAATCATAGAAGAAATCTTTCCCAACCTAAAGAAGGATATCCCTATGAAGGTACAAGAAGCTTGCAGAACACCAAATAGACTGAACCAAAAAAGTCCCCTCACCATATAATAATCAGAACACAAAACATACAGAATAAAAAAAGAATATTAAGAGCTGCAAAAGAAAAAGGTCAAGTAATATTTAAAAGCAAACCTGTCAGAATTACACTCAACTACTCAATGGAAACCATGAAAGCCAGAAGATCCTGGGCAGATGTGCTGCTGACACTAAGAGACCAGGGAAGCAAGTGGAGACTACTATATCCAGTAAAGCCTTTAATCACCATCAATGGAGAAAACAAGATAGCCCATTACAAAACAAGATTTAAACAATGCCTATCCACAAATCCAGCCCTACAGAAAGTACTAGAAGGAAAACTCCAACCCAAGGAAGCTAACTTCACCCACAGAAATATAGGCAACAGATAACCTCCCATCAGCAAACCCCAAAGAAGGGGAACGCACAAACACTACCACTGAAAAATAACAGAAATTAACAATCATTGATCATTAATATCTCTTATTATCAATGGACTTAATTCACCTATAAAAAGACACAGACTAAGAGAATGGATACCAAAGCAAGATCCATTATTCTACTGTATACCAGAAACACACCTCAACCTCAAAAACAGACATTACCTCAGAGTAATGGATTGGGAAAAGATTTTCCAGTCAAATGGACCTAAGAAACAAGTGGGTGTAGCTATTCTAATAGCTAACAAAATTGATTTCCAACTAAAATTAGTCAGAAGAGATGGAGAAGGACATACCATACTCATCACAGGAAAAATTCCATCAAGATGAAGTCTCAATTCTGAACATCTATGCCCCAAATAAAAGAACACCCACATATGTAAAAGAAACATTACTAAAACTTAAATTGCACATCAAACCCTACACACTAATCATTGGAGATTTCAACACCCCATTCTCCCCAATGTACAGGTCAACCAGACAGAAATTTAACAGAGAAATAAGAGAACTAACAGATATCATGACTCAAAAGGACTTAACAGACATCTATAAAACATTTCACTCAAACACAAAAGAATATAACTTTTTAGAACTTCATGGAACCTTCTCTAAAACTGACCACATACTCAGAAACAAAGCAAACCTCAATGGAATAAAAAATTTGGAATAACCCCCTGTAGCTTATCGGATCACCATGGTTTAAAGTTAGAATTCAACAACAACACTAACTGCAGAAAATCTACAAACACATGGAAATTGAACAGTGCTCAGTTGAATCACCCCTAGGTCAAAGAAGAAATAAAGAAAAAAAATTAAAGATTTCCTAGACTTCAACAAAAGTGAAGGCACAATGTACCCAAACCTATGGGACACTCTGAAAGCAGTTTTAAGAGGAAAGTTCATAGCACTAAGTGCCCACACAAAGAAAGTGGAGAAATCTCACACTAGCAACTTAACAGCACACCTGAAAGCTCTAGAACAAAAAGAAGCAGACTCATCCAGGAGGAGCAGATAACAGGAAATAATCAAATTGAGGGCTGAAATCAATAAAATAAAAACAAAGAAAATAATACAAAGAATCAAGGAAATGAAAAGCTGATTCTTTGAGAAAATCAACAAGATAGGCAAACCCTTATCTAAACTAATCAAAAGGCAGAGAGAGAGAACACCCAAATTAACAAAATCAGAAATTAAAAGGCGGATATAACAACAGACAAGGAAGAAATACAGAGAATCATTAGGTCATACTACAAAAACCTGTACTCCATAAAACTGGAAAATGTAAAAGAAATGGACAATATTCTAAATAGGTACCACACACCAAAATTAATCAAGACCAAATAAACAACTTAAATAGACATATAACCCCCAAGGAAATAGAAGCAGTCATCAAAAGTCTACCGTCCAAAAGAAAAAAAGCCCAGGGCCAGGTTGCTTCAGTTCAGAATTGTAGCACGAATAATAAAAACCCAGAAAGTGATATTGGCGTTCAAGCTAAAGATCAGAAAAGCAAGGCAGTCAACCCCTAGAGAGACATTTTACCTCTACCAAATCTTCAGACCAAAGGGGCAAAATCCTATCTCCATGAATCTTCAGACTCCACACTCCAGTGAGTTCCTGTCTCTTCCCCTTTATATTCCTCTCTCTGCCCAGCCATCATATCACTCTGGTCTCCACCTCTACCTGCTTGGGTTAAAAGTGTGTGACTCTAAAACATTGGGGTTAAACGTGTGAATCACCACCACCAAAATCTGTTTCTGAATCGATATTGTGTACCCCGGGGTAACCTTGAACTCACAAAGATCCGTCTGCCTCTGTCTCCCGAGTCCTGGGATTAAAGGTGTGTGCCACCACTCCCTGGCCTGTATGACCAGGCAGTGGATACTTTCCCCTCTGATCTTCAGACAAGTCTTATTTATTAAAGCTCAAACAATATACCACTATATTTCCCCTTTTGCCTAAAATTAAAAAGAAGGCTATAACTAATATAAGAAAAACTATATACAATAAGCTCTATAACTATGTACAATATATACAGGCAATAAATACATCAACAATGCCTAGTCCATTTGCATGTGACAAGTTCAGAGAAAATACTCCATTATCTATCCTTTCTTGGTGAGTCCAAAATCTTGTACCTAATTTATTTTCTATCATAACAAGCTTTCTATGTCTGATAATCAAGGAAAAATAAACTATAACTATCTAGTCTTCAGCTCCCTCACGGACCCAAGAAGGAAATAATATTAACTGAGTAAGCAGAAAGTGCAAGCAAGCAACTTCCAAAAAAGTGTGAGAAATGACAGAAACAGTTGGCTGTCTGGACAGTTACCCAAAGTTCCTCTGCAATGTTAGGGCATCCATCCTTGGCCTACAGACTTAGAATATCCAACAGACTTTTCTGAGAAGCAGGATATTCTCAAACTTTTCTTGACAGTGTTTGACAATCACTCCCTTTTGTGTCCTCCTTGTCCATTTAGGACAACATACTGTCAGCAGTTGAGGCAAGGGCACTTCCTTGCACAGTGGCTTACTTTTGTCACAAAGAAAATAAACTCCATGTGGAGTTTCTTCAGTGCCCATTCTCTTCTCTGAAGTAGATTGGTGCTGCCAGAAGCAGATGCGTCTCAATGTCATAAAAAAGAGTATATGTTATTAAAATTTTAAAATGTCATATTCTGTAGATCTCTAAAGTTTTCGAAGATGGCCTGTCTATATAAAATATATCTTTATTTGACCTTGAAAACATACCTAATGTGACTATAAGTTCAATTGTAATAGGCGATTAACTACTAACATGCAATACTTTATTATCCTGTACAGCTGGTAATAATAGTTTTCAAGGGCTATAAATTTGCATTACATTGTTAAATTAGGTGTATAGGTACAATATCATAAACAAGAGTAGAAATTATGTACAGTATGTTCTAACAAAATTAATCTCAAATTTGTATCAATATACAAAATTTGTATACAATATACAACAGTCCAATGCAAAGTACTTAAAACTAATAGTTGTTTTTTAAAAGTATGTTCAATAAGCTATCTTTTTATCATATCATATCTATATCCTACCTTTTTCCTTTTCAGAATAGATTCAATAATCTACCTTTTAATCCTATCATGTCTGTATCCTCATTTTTTCTTTTCAAAACAAGAACTCTGAATCTAATCTTTGTTAAACTTTTCTTCTGGCTGTAACTAGTAACAACTGACAGCCAAGCCCCTAAACAATGTCAAATATCTGTAACCCAATGAATGACCAAAAATCACCCACCCCACCTCTTGGGAATGTGGGTGTGGTCGTCTTAAATTTACTTCCTGCTGTCTAGGGGGGGTGTGACAATATTATTATGGGATCCAGAAAAGAAAAATGTAAATTAATTGTCAAGTCCTGGGAAAGGTAGCTGTATCATTTGCTGTCCAGTCTCTGTGTAATGGGAAAGTGCAGGGCTTGTCTCAAGTACTGGCTAGAGTTGTCTATTAGGCTGAATCATCTCAGCCAGGCATTTAGAAATTATTCTGAGCAGTTTGTAGTCCATAGCTGATCCTTAACTGGTGTATTTCAGTTTAGTGTTGTTACCATAGTCCTGGAGGGGTTGTCATTGTGGGACCCCATCTTCCTTTTGGAGACTTCAAGCATCGCTATTAGGTGTTCACTGTAGAAAACTGATAGAGAAGAGACTCAAACCCGAAATCATGTACAAGAAGGTAGATGAAACCTTTTTCTAGAATTAGGTAAGCACTCTTTATGACCTTTAATACCATGACAAAAAAGTTTAATATGTGTGTGTGTGTGTGTGTGTGTGTGTATGTATAAGTCTTATACCTTAAGAAAAGCTGTCAAATGGTCAATATAAAGCCAAAGGATTATGATATTAGTAGCAATAAAACAGTCCTTAAACTTTTGCTCTTCTGTCCCATATCAGGTGGCCCTTCAACATGGGACAGAGATTTTGGATTTTATATTAACAAGAATGTTTGAGTTAAGAGAATAGAGTCACACTCCAACTCCAATGTGAGCTTTAATCTTTAGCTGGACTGGTACTTAAAGAAGACTGTATTTATATTATATATCTGTAGAGAAAAGCAGAAACAAACATTTAGGAAGATTTATAAAATTTTATCCTGTTGGAAATGTGATATACAAATAGGCCAATTTACTCTTTTTCTTGACACATTTTTTTTTTTCTGGATGATTTGTCCTTTCTCATTGTCCAGTGGTCTTCAGATTCCTTAGCGGGATACCTTTATTCTCCTGAAAAGACAGAAACAAAACCCTTACCCAACCCTAAATTTGGATTCTCTTTTGGCAACTTATATCTGGTAAAATGAAGAGCATTTTTTAGTTGTACAGGTTAGTTTAGATTAAACGACTATTCTGTTTGGTGAATTATCATCTATTCTAGTTAGGAGATGTCTCTTGTTCAAATTGAATATTTATCAATTTTGATGGTAGTCATAGCTTTTCTTCTCCTGTGGAAACAAGAGTAAAACCCCTTCCCCAACATAGCACATGTCCTGGTTTCTATTCTTTAAAGTATACTGGCTGATTTAATTCCGTAAGTTTTTCTACTATCCAATGTCTCTCTGCAGCTGTTGTTCCTTTCTCATTAGCATTTAGAAAATTCAAAGTTACAAAAAGTACTATGCAGTCTATTTATGTGGGTCTTTATCATCCCTTTCTGTTTATTTAACATATTCTTTAGAGTTCAGTTTGATCTTTCTGTAATTACCTGTCCTGTAGGATTGTGTGGTATACCTGTAATATGTTTTATATTACAATAAGCAAAAAATACTGTTTCATTTTCTTAGAGACATATGTTAAAGCAGTGCCTGCTTTTTTTTCTACAGGTATACTCATGATGGCCAGAACTTCTAGCAAATATGTGATTACAGAATCAGCTTTTTTTTTTAATTTCAAAGCAGCTTCCCATTGAAAACCTGGATCGGTATCAATGGTCTGTTGTACATATTTTAGTTTTCCAAATTCTGCAAAATGGAACACATCCATTCTATCCTAAAGGGTTAAATGGAGCATGCTCTGCTAAACTCAGTCTCACTAGGCAAGGGTTGGTTCAAGATTGGACCCATGGGATGGGTGTTGTCAGAAAAAGTCTCCCGAGAGGCTGCTGGGAAATGTTTCACTATGACAACCGATGGCAAAATCAGTCCCTCTTCCTCCTCCTTCAGAACTTGAGTTTTTGGGAAACCACTCTGGCCACCTTGTTCCCAATTTAAGGACAAATTCAGTCCAGAGGGGAAGACAAGCCCAGGGGACTGTCGCATGCAGGCAGGCACCACCAGAGCCATCATGGGTGTGTGCAAGGTTGCTTTCTCTCTGAATTTCAAGTCAGTTGCACGCATCGTTACTTTTTTAACAACAAATTAAAGTTTTCTGTTATTTTCTATCAAAATCATCCAAAAAGGATTCAAAGATGGCTCAGAGGTGACAGCTTATATTCTCAGTTCCAAATATCGAACACAGAGAGAACTCTGAATGAAAACAGAACATGGAACTAGACCGATGTCAACAGCATGGATCTTAGAGAAAGCAGAGACACGAGAGAAATGGCCTAAGAACAAATGTCATTGTGACTCATATCATAATAAAATAATGCATTTGTGTAATTCAAAACTGCTGACACTCTGAGTCATGACCCCACACAGGGCCCCATAACTGGATGTGGGGGCATCCACAACATGTGAGCATGAGTGGGAGCTTTCTGGGTGCATGAGGATTGAAATTTAACACAGAATCAGATGCACCATGAATGTGAAGCAGTTGCATTGTGCAGCTTCACAGCTGCCCTGGGTCTGAACATACAGAGGCCTCTGCGCCGAGCATACAGTCATGTCACTAAACATCAACAAACACCGCCTTAAACGCCCTGACTTCCATCCAAGACTATTGTGTGTTATAAACCTCAGGGTTTTCACTTACATATCAAGTTTTCTGTTCTTAGAGAAACATGACGGTTAATTGTAGAAAAGAAATCCTTTTTCTATCATCGTTCTACACAATGTATCAAATTAGTATGTATTTGGAGTAGATTGTGTTTACACCAACAAATATTATGCATATCATTAGCATGCAAATTTGCTTTGGTCTTTAATAAATGATAGAATTATAGGTATTCCAAATAATTGTTTACAAATGTATTTCCTTTTGATTTTTAATAAATGTGTTTGATTTGCATAGCTATTTCATATACCTGAACTAATGGCCCCGTAAGAACTTCTTCAGCAAAAGCAGCCTGTGTGGGGAAAAAAAATTGAAAAGTTCTTTAGCTGGTGGGTGGCAGTGGCTATACGCCTTTCATCCCAGAACTCAGAGGCAGAGGCAGTCAGATTTCTATGAGTTCAAGGCCAGCCTGGTCTACAGTGTGAGTTTCAGGACAGCCAGGGCTGTTACACAAAGAAACCCTGTCTCAAAAAAGAAAAAAAAAAAGTCCTTCACCCAGGTGTTAAATGCCTATAACATGCAACAATCGTGCCTTATGAGCAAAACCAGACACGGTCAGTGCCCCAGTGAACCTGTTGGTTCAGCGAATAGCATAAATTTTAATTGAATAAGCATATAGCTGGGGGAGGATTCCAGTTCAAGGTAGAAATGAGCAATGCCCACCCTACAAATCACTTACCCTCATTTCAGACACTTGGGGCTGGGATTTTGGTGCCTTGCAATGAAGAGGGCTGAAACCGGAAGAGCTGGCTTACTATGTCAGCAGTCTCCCATGAAAAACTAGCCGTGTGCTGTTCACATCCAAACCGGCAGGTCTGTGAGCAGATACCAGACTCTGGTAGCTAGCCTCCGAAACCTCTGTCTGTCCTTCACTAATGTAGGACCCAGATGTGTCAGTCTAGCTTCTGCCGAACTAAGGAAGGAGTGCCGAAGTTAAGGTTCCCTGTAAATGGTGGCGGGGAAATTCCAGCTTGCGGCTTTGCTTCCTCTAACGCTGCTTAGTACAGGCAGATATGGGGGGGACCGTAAGTGAATTCATCTAGGGTCAGGGATTTGTAAGACCAAGCTGATGAGCGAAACAGAGGAGCTGGGGTTTTTGACACAGGAAGGAACGTTTTTGAAATCCCGAGTGCTGAACTGGAAACGGGAGACAAAGGAAATGAAGAAAAAAGGCGCTCCGAGCATTACTAGATTAAGTGTTAGGAAGAAGCCGAAGAAACCCCTGGTCAGAGTGCTGAAGCAGCACCTGTGAGGGCGGGGGATGGTGCTCACAAGCTGTGTTGTGGGACTTCGTGATTTTTGTCTGTGGGTCAATCAGAGGGGCCAATAACTAGGATGGGGGTGTATGAGAAAGAGGAGATTGATGGCTGATTGATCAGAAGGATTTTTTTATATATAAGATATAAAGGTAAAGGAACAGAGGTGGCAATGAAGGTATTCAAGAGGATATGACCAAAGATGACAGTGAAAAGCGTTCTAAGGTGGACTGGGAGAATCCCGGAAGACCCCGACCCTACACAAAGAGCTGCAGGCAGCCAAGGAATGTTGAGGGTAGGAGAAACATTCGTCCCCAGTGAAAAGCACTCCAACTAACTATCCATTACCAAATAGCACTGGAAACATACACATATGAGTAACATACAGACTAAGTGGGTTATATTTTTGTATTTAGGAAGATATATGTATATACATATATGTATATGTATGTAACATCAACTAACGAAAAAAAGAGGTCATGAATTTGGAAGAGAGCAAGAAGGATGTCTTAGAGTTTCTATTGCTGCAAAGAGACACCATGACCATGGCAACTCTTATAAAGGAAACATTTACTCAGGGCTGGCTTACAGTTTTAGAGGTTTAGTCCATGGTCATCATGGCAGAAGGCGTGGGGGAGCGCAGGTAGACATGGTGCTGGAGGAGGAACTGAGTGTTCTACATTTTGGATGAGCAGGCAACAGGAAGTGGATGCCCTACTAGGCCTAGCCTGAGCATCTGAGACCTCAAAACCTGCCCCCACAGTGACACTTCCTCCAACAAGGTCACACCTACAGCAATAAGGCCACACCTCCTAATAGTGCCACTCCCTATGAGCCAAGCATTCAAACACATGAGTTTATGGGGCCCCATTCCTATTCAAACCACCGCAGAGGGGTTTATGGGAGGGTTTGGAGAGAGGAAAGAGAAGGGGGGAGATGATGTAATTACATCATAATCTCAAAAACAGTCATGGACCCCACCCTCAGGCAAGGAAGAAGATGGGAGATTCTAAAGGTCAAAGACCAGAGCTATTTATGATGGCTTCAGATGTTGTCAGGGGAAAGGAAGATATTGTTTACGATGAGGAACCAGAGGGAACACTTACGACACAATAGGTTAGCAAGATGGGCTGTGGCCCTCTGACTGGAGAGATTGAGCTCCAGAGAGAACAGTAAAGGGCGTCAGCTGAGGGAAAGCATGGAGGCTAGGTCACCTGTAAGGAACCAGAAGCCATGATGGGCTTCACTTACACACTGGGAACGAATCAGATGTTGGATTCGGAGCCTCTGTCGTTTTAAAGAAGGTTGTCTATTGGTCCCAGTTGAAAAAGACTTAATCTGCATCCCCATGTGATAGTAGCTACAAGCACTATAAACAAAATTGTTGTTGGACAAGCTACCATTTGCTAAGTATTATGTGATAAACCTTATTTGAATTTGTGTCGTTAAATCCCATTGTAACCTTGTTGGTTCAGAAGTGTCGTTCCACTCTCCAGACGGGGAGCCTGAAACTAAGGCTGCAAATCAGAAACTAAAATTTAACAGGCGAAGCCGTGATCAGCGGTAGAATGTCCGCCTGATGTGCCTAGGCCCAATCCCCAGTGAAGGAAAATAAATCTCAAATCTAATATAATCGCCACCGGTAAATAAACAATAATGTTCATGAATGTTTCATCTGGTCTGTATGTTTCCAAAAGAAATACATATCACTTGATGCTTAGATTCTCAGACCCTATGGCTGGTTATAGTGTTATTGAATGATTTCTGTGAGTATCTCAATTTGCTAATATCAAGCAAACTAGAGATATCTTGGCCCATATTAGGCAAGCTCTAAAGAAATATTTCACAAGGAAGGCCAGGTTCCGCTTTTGCTCATCACAGTGGTACACCTTGACAGCTCTAAAACTGGATCAACCACAGTAAACAACTCATTGCAAGTACTGGACCGCAAGCAATGAAAGACGCTGAGCACAACGCATAGAGAAAGCTCAGATGGCCAGGCAGTGGTAACACGCACCTTCCATCCCAGCTCTACGGGGGCAGAGGTAAGCAGATCTCTGTGCGTTCGAGGCCAGCCTGGCCTACCAAGCTAGTTCCAGGATAGCTAGGGCTGTTACACAGAGAAACCCTGTCTAAAAACTAAAAATAAAAAGGAAATGCTAAAATAGGATTCAGATTTAGTGAATTTAGTAATTCACAAGATGACTACCTGGGACAGTTTCCACATGGTTGGGTGGAGGAGTACCGTCCAACCAATGAGCGTGGAGCAGTGGTACTGAACTAACGAGATGGAGGAAGCCTGTGGAAGATCCTGCAGCAACTGGAACTGACACCGAGTAGTTTAAAGAAACAGAGAGCTCCAGAGGCTTCATAGGGACATCAAGAGGTTCCTGGATAAAGGGTTAATTAATTAATGGGTTAATTAATTAATACAAGTTTCCAAAATGTCTAATAAAAAGTAGCTTCCTGGAGATGAGAGAGCTAGAACAGAGTGGAGAGAGGGATTTTCAGTCCAACAAGTGTGGAGTATCCTGGGTAGTGAGAATCCAGAAATGCCATGTTCTTAAAACAAGGTAAAGACGGCAGGTAGAGACTGAATCCTAAGAATAAAGTCTGAAACAACGACAGCATGTGCGTGTGAGAGTGTGCATGTTTATATGCATATATAAAACTCTATATGGGCAGAAATTCCTAAAATTAGTGTTAAATAAAAATTAGTAGATCCAAGAAGACAAATGACAATCAAGTAAAATAGAATTAAAAAAAAAAAAAACAGAGTCAAGCCTAGGACTATCAAATTGTCCACGAAAAATTTGTAGTAGTAATAGGGGAGAAAAGATATTAAATCTGAGGGAACAAGGATACAAATGATGACAGATTTTATTTCACAAACTTTGAAAGAAGATGAGAGAACAAACATAATTTTTAAAATGCTACAAGAATTCATGGTTTATTTACAGTCCTTTAACAGGTATGAGTATACTCTCTAAAACTGAAAATTGTATAAAATGTTTTCAGATTTTAAGATCTTAAAATGATTTTGATGTGTGGTATGGATGTGTCCTTGTCTGTGTATGTGTGCACATGCATGAGTACACACAGGTGTGCACGTTTACATGTGGAGACCAGAAGTCAATGTTGGGCCTCTTTCTCCCTCTCTTATTCATTCTCTATATGATTTTGAGACAAGGTCTCTTTCTGAACCTGGAGCTCACTAACTCAAGAAGATGAATTCAGGCCAGCAAACTTCAGCAATCCTCCTGCCTCTGCTTCTCCGGTGATGGGATTACAGGTGTGTGTCACCGTGCCCAGCTTTTTACATGGCTACTGGGAATTGAATTCAGTTTTGTGCACTTACGAGCACTACACTAAGTAAACCCCATCTCAAAAAACCAAAACAGAAAAGAAAAGAAGAAGGGAAGGAAGGAAAGAAGGAAGGAAGGAAGGAAGGAAGGAAGGAAGGAAGGAAGGAAGGAAGGAAAGAAAGTCTCATGACTAATAAAAACCCAGAGACAGAAATTGGGGTTCAACCTGAAAGTCAGAAAAGCAAAACAGTCACCATCTCTTACCTCACCCTAGTCAAAAATGGCGATCCTGCCTCCAGGAATCTCATAATGAGACTATGTGTGAGAGCTGTGTCCTCCCATTTTATATTCCTCTTTTGTGCTGGGATTAAAGGCGTGCACCACTACCACCTGGTTTCTCTGGCAAACTAGTGTGGTTACTGGGATTAAAGGTGCGTGTTACCACTGCCTGGTCCGTAAGGCTGATCAGTGTGGCTGTTTCACTCTCTGAACTTGAGGCAAACTTTATTTATTAAAATACAAATGAAATATCCCTACAAAAGAATATATCTTTGGTCCTGAGGTATTGGCTCACTGGGTAAGAGTACTGACTTTGCAAACGGAGGGATCTGAGTTTAAATCCCATTAGCTACACAAAAAAGCTGAGCATGGCTGAACATGCTACTAACCCCAGCACTCTGGGTCAGCAACAGGAAGATCTCAGGAGCTCTGACCTCCACATAAAAAGGCATGCTCGTACACCACACACACGTAAAAGCCAACCACATTTTAACCAAAGATGAGAGACACAGGCCTGAGAGAGACCGCCAGTCCAGTCACACAGCAAACACAAACCCTGCAAGCCCTGGTCTGGGGAACCTAAGAGTCTTCTAGAGGGAGTCCCTGAGACCTCCGTGGGGTGCAGGGAGAAGGACCCAGTAAAAGGCTCATCAGCCAAAAGTCAGACATAGTAACAGCTCAGACCCTCTCCAGACTCAAAGGGAACCGCTGCACGTGACAACAGTCAAGGTCAGCCACCTCATCAGGGTCACAAACCAATAAATCCACTTACCAGCAGCTAGTGAGACAGGGACTGCTTTACCAGATGTCACGACTTCCTGCCACAAGGTCATGTGACCACCACTCTTGTGCTCTATTGCAAAATATGTGACATCGATAACTTTGCTTTAAAACTCACTGAACATAGGTGCAATGAATGTGGCATCTTAATTACCTGACAATATGTATAAAGAACTACGACATATTTGTGCAATTAAACCTTGGAATTGGACATAATAAGACCCTTTGTAAATGATCAGACAAGTTCAGCGTGTGAAGGAATCTGCCACTAGCCTGGTGACT